CGGGCTGACTTGAACCACTGTTGCTCAGAGCTCAAACTCTTGAGCGAGCTCTTAACCAACTGAGCCACTCAGCCGGCCCTTATAGGTCTATTTTTAATATAAAGGACAAAGGTGTCTCCTTTTTTTAATGCTCTTTCCCGTAACAACCTTTCTGGTGTTTTTTTTCCACGTGAGTGAAAGAAAGTAAAACCATGTAAACATTTGGATGTTAAATGGATGTTAAAAAATGAATTGTTTTCTTGACAGACCTGTAAAGTGGTAGCTATAGATTACGTTCAATGAAGTAAATTAATTTTAATACTATATTGTAATGTCACAAAAATGAAAACAAAAAAAAACATCTGCGTGCTTTTGCAGTCCTTAGCCATTTTGCAATAATAGTATTCTATATTTGAGTACCTAAAATTATGAGTGCTTAAAGATATAAGGCTTACTTTGTATAATGTGACACCATCTTTGGAGCAGTCACCAATTTCCAAATTTAAATATCAACACAGAATGAAAAAATACTTTTACTATTAAGATATTTTAAATATTTTCAATGAAATTATTTCGCTGACATTTGGTTTAATCCCTTAAATGGGATAGTGTTATACAATAATGGAAATCAACTCGCCATTATAAACTGCTATTATTCATGAGCATGAAAATGCCAATCATTTTCACTTACTTACAGATACATGCTAATCCTTTAAGTCGGGATAAAAAATATGTTTCATGATATGGCAGTAATTTATGTGTCTTTGGCTTGACTTTATTAAACATTTTTTAACACAATCTGTGTTGTTGATCAGTATATTAAAAAGAATCATTTTGCTATACTAGATTAGTTAAGCATTTATTGGAAAGTTGTAGTTGTTTTAAGTGCCTTTGTTTTAAGACATATAGATAAATTGGAATGAACATGCGAAAAAGCAAGATGATTACAATTTAGGAGCTAGGTCTTAGGAAAAAATGTTAAAGGAGTTGGGGCTGTGTTAGCTTTCTGGAAAAATGACTGAATGGTAACTTAATAATGACTCTATTACTTGAACAGTTACTACAAGAAGAGTGTTAACTATTTACTTTTCCATCTCTGGAGCAAATTGAAAAGCAATTACATGTAACTTCATCCTAACAACAGCAAATATTGAAATCTGCCTAACACATATGTTGCAGAATCAATAATCGTGGAAATCATGAATAGATCAAAGCTCATAAGAATGTAGTTGGCACCTGAGTTTTGTTTTAATCATTGCATGCAAATATTCATATTCCTAGATTTCTGTTGTTGAAATGAAACAGAGCTAGTACCCCAAGTTTAATCAACTAGCAAGATCCTAGACTTTTTAAGAATTATATTTATTGGATATTAGTGAATGATTTTAGTAACTACAATAACTTAGTCTAAATTAGTGATTTAAAGGGTTGAAGATACAGAGAAGTGATAATTACCCTTGAAAGTAAAGCAAAAAAACTAGCACCATTGTCTTTTGCTATTTTCGTTTGGAAAGTTCTGTATCATTTGTTATGTATTATATACACATCTCCTGTTGTGTCATGGGATTATGTCTTAAGCAAGATTAATAAACAGTAATAACCAGAACAACAGAGCTCTGTTCCTGGGATCATCAAGAAATGGAACTACAGTAGTCGTCTTTAAATAACACTTCCTTATATAATAGAAACCCTTGTGCCTTGGATAGTAGAGACAGTCTTTGTTTAGAATGGTGATTGGACTAGATAACCTATTAAAATGCCTTCTAACTCAACAAGCAATTTATGGATTGGTGTTTTCTGTATTGCATTTAATAATGGAGATATTATGGTATGGATTCAGAGCATCTGAGTCTCTAATAAGAAGCTATTTTAACCTCTCTGGGCCTATAGTTGTTTCTCCTACAGTTTAATGTCAGACTAGTTGATTTCCTTCATCCCTTCCAGTTTAAAATTTTATGGTTCAACAGATTTAAAGAGACAAGTATACCTCACTTTGAAAGGTGGTGCCAATATATTAGGTCTATTGCATGTTTGGATTTTAAATGTTAGATCCAGTTCAAGTTAAGGTTTTCACATTATTAAGGGTCAGGGCCTAATTAAGCCCCTTATTAAGGGGCAGAGCCTGAGATTTTGCTTTCTTAATGAGCTCCCAGATGACATAATTGATGTAGGACCCTTGCATCCATAATATGAATAGCAGTCATTTACACTATATGATATTTGATTCATGATTTGAAAGTTTTGGCTACAATTCCTGTGAAGGCTATGATTTATTCACATTTCTATGAATTTTAATTATAAATTTGATAACAGTATTATATGCCATTGGATTTCTACTTGAAGAGCTTTCTTTCATATGTAAGAGTAGTAGCAAGTTATAAAATATTTATTTATGCTTTAGATCAGTCAACTATGTGACTTGAATCACATTCTAGTAATTGATTTGAAAATAGCAGAATCCTGGGAAAGTCTTGTTTAGACGTGATCTTGCCAAATTTCTTCTTATAGTTATGTGCTTTGTTTGGTTTTAATAGTTCAATGAAAAATTTACACAAGAACTCAACCGGTAGCATCCATTTTTTATTACTCCATTCATGCAAGAAAGCAACTATATTAATTCCAGTTTTTAATCCTAGTTTTTGAATATTTTAAAAGAAGTGTCAATAAACCTATATTCGAAATGTACAGTGTGTAGAAGAAGAAAAGGATTTTCACAGTTAAATGTCTACCCTTTTCAGGTTCCCCAGCACCACCATTGCCATCTGTTCTGTCTCCTAGCAGGGTTGCAGCTAGTCAACTGGCTCAACAAGGAAGTGATTTAATTGTTCCTGCAGGTATTCAGCTGCACTGATTGGATAAAGCCCTTCTTGCTACTGCTGAAGCTAAACTAATTCACTCAGTTTCATAATCACTTGCTTTATATTCTTAGGTGTGTGTTATTCTGGCTTTTTTAGTGCTGCTGCTTTTTTTTTTTTTTTTAGCAATAAGTTAAATAATCTTTCTAGCCATACCTGTCTTTCTGGCTTTTCAAAGTTATTAGTTATATCTCAAACCTGAAATTTATTTCACTTAACATTAAAAAACATGGTTAAATTTGATTCATTTAAAATTATCCTTTCTTTGTTCTGGAAAATGTATTCACTTAATTGATCCTGAACTCTCAGCTTTGCAGATCTGCTCTCTTATTTTCAGTTAAGCAAGATAGGAGCCTTCAACAATTGGGTTGTTCATTGTTTGGAATGGGTCATGTGGAAACGGTTGTGTCTTCCTATTTTCAACCTCAGCTTACAAATAGTTTGCAGATTGTAACAAAATACTATGTAATTTACCAGTTATGCCCAATGAAAAATATTTGGGAAAAATCCATTTCTTTGCATGGAATTTGCTCTGCACTTTAATTGCTAGACTATAAAAACAAGAAAAAATTGAACTCCATATTTTTATATGATATGTTAACATTTTATATTTGTTTCTATGAAAATTTTGTAAATTCTTTAATGTGTTTGATTGTATATACTGTTTTCAGCTTAGATTATGGTAAAGTTGTGCTAAAGGCTGATCAGGCTTTAGGAGTAAGTGAGAAAAGAAATTTCTGCTGGCTAACTTTTTAAAACAATTTATTACAACTTTTCCTCTTATTTCATTGTTCTTTTAAAATTATTCTAAAGTTTCTATCTCAAGTCAGTATCATAAACATTTAATATTTTCTTCTATGAAAAATATTTACTATTAAGAACTGTATAGCTGTAGAGTTGCTTTTATGTCAGGGCTTTTTACTGCCTTTATTAATTATGGCTTTTTTTTTTTTTTTTGCTTTTTTTTTTTGGTGGGAAAGGGTCTCTTAAGAAAAAGAGGAGATACAATGTAGGTCTTGTTTTAACCCAGCCTTTCATACTGGTGGTAAGATATTTTTAATGACTATTTCAAGTTTGAATTGTATTTTTAAGTACTCCAAAATTATAGTAATATTATATCATCGCTCTGTTCAACATAGTACAGTGGACAAAGATCCCTGTAAGGAGTATGTGGCCTTTTAGATTTTTATTGACAGTTTTTTTAGTGTCACTAGGTTATAAGATTAATTGTGGGAATTTTTTTTAAGTAAACAGCATTTATTTAGAAAAGAAAGCTGATAGCAGCTATTTTTTTTTAAGAAAACAAGTAAAGCACACAGCATTTGTGTTTAATAGACAAATTTTTTTATGTGTTAGGAAATTATCTTCAGTGATTCCAGGAAGTTGTTGTAGTCCTTCACTTTGTGGGAGGGAACCTTTTCATTTTTTAAAATGCATGAGTAGGTAATTTGAACAGCATCAATGTTTCATTTTCTTTCCCTACTTGTCTTTATCTGGTTTGTGTTTTTATCTTTTCTTATGAACATGCAGGTGGCCAGAGAACACAGACAAAAAGTGGACCAGTTATTCTAGCAGATGAAATTAAAAATCCTGCAATGGAAAAGTTAGAACTTGTTAGAAAATGGAGTCTAAACACCTATAAGGTTTGTAATTTTTTAATGTTTCCACCCTTACTGGCACTAAGACTTTTTCTTTGTAATTTAAATTATTATTTTGCAATTATATGAACATATAGGAGAGCAAATGACATCTGAACATAAAAATACAATTAGAAAATGAAGTATTTTTATTACTGATCTTCACATAAATGTAGTTTTAAGTCTAGCAAAAGAGTAAAAAAGCTACTAAAATGCTCGTTAATTTATAGATAACACATAATTGAAGAAGGAATATATTGTCTTAGAATATGTTTAGCTATAGAACTGCTATACATATATTTGTCCCCACCTTCCTCTTTTTGATACTTTATAGCAACTAGAGTATATTAGTTTTTCAAATTTGGAATTCTCTGATTTTATTGTAGTAACTAAACATTAATTCAACAGACAGCATCAGATTGCAAATCAGTTGGATTTCAAAAGTTTATTAATGTTAGTTGAATTGCTTCAGAGTACGTAATTGGTGGTAATTTTTCTTAATGTCCTCCATAAAACAAATAAGCAAATTATTTAATCTATACTTTATTTGATGTATTACAAATAGCTTAAGCTCTAAGTCCATTTAGTATTTTGAATCTTAACAAGGACAAGACAGTAGAATTCATAGAATAGTTAAATTGATGAAAAAGCCTCAGTAGCTCAGGTCAGAGCATTAGCCATAAAGCTCTCTAGATATTTGTGAATTGGTTGTGGGTCTTTGTAAATCGGGAATTACAGTAAAACCTTGGATTGCGAGTAACTTGATTTGAGAGTGTTTCGCAAGACGAGCAAACATTCCTAATACATTTTAACGTGGTAAACAAGCGATGTCTTGCAATATGAGTAGTTTGTTTCTGGAACGAATTATGTTCACAAACCAAGGTATTACTGTATCTGTATTTTTATACAGAGCACATGTCTCTTATGTGTCTTCGTTTTGGGGAGGTTTTTAATTGCCAGGTAGAGATACATACCTATTCTTTTTTTTTTTTTTTTTTTAATTAAAGGTTATTGGGGTGACAATTGTTGGTAAAGTTACATAGGTTTCAGGTATACAATTCTGTAATACATCATCTATGTATCACATTGTGTGTTCACCACCCAGAGCCAGTTCTTTCCATCACCATACATTTGATCCCTTTTACCCTCCTCTACTACGCCCCTCCCCCATGTGTCTTCTTAACAGTAATGCAGAAGTGAATTTATTCTTTCAGTTAATACTTTTATAATATGATCTGAAATCCTCTACAGAAGTACAGGTTTTCCTAAGATGGTAAAAGTGCCCTGAAACATGCTACATGAATCTTTCCAAAAACTATTTAGCTTATGCCAATGTAGAACTGAGAAATGCCAATGGTAGTTGTCAAAAATTGATGCCTGTTTATACTGTTCTCATTCTGGACATTCTATTTAATCATTGAACCTTTTGTTCTCAAGGATGTAGATTCTCTCATTTCATGTATTGTTTTTCCCTTTGTATTACCTCATATCACAACGGTTCACCCAGATATTCAAATTTTGACTCATCATCTTACTGATTTGACATATCTAGTTAGTCATTAAATGAATTCTGCCTCCTTAATGTTCTTTTACTTTATCCCCTTTTCTCTATTCTAACCTTCACAGCTATAGCTCCTGTATGTATTACTCTAATAGCTTAACAGGATTCTCTTAGACTATGTATTCTACTTTGCTTGATGTGGTTCACTCTTGCTTAAAATCCTTCAGTCAATCCCGTCTTTAGACTGTCATGAATCTGACCCTATCTCCTTTTCCAACTTGATCTCCTGCTGCTCTTGTCTTCCACCCATAGACCCAGTTATCCATACCAACCTTATCCAGAGATGTCCTAAACATGCTGTGCCTTCTCACACCTCTACAACTCTGGTTATGGGGCTGTCATTGGCTACTGCTTGGAATTCCCCTCTGTGCTCTCTTTCATTTCATTGTTTATCTTTCATGCCAGACTAAGCTTCATTCATTTATTTATTAAATTTATTTATTCAGCCATTCCTTTGTTCACTTATTTATGAAATTTGCCTCTTAATTAGTGACATTCGATGGCCACACATTTTGAACCCAAAGAGTATAGGCCTTGTTTTTGAACTAAATCCTAGTAATTACAAATTACAAAGTACAAGATTTTGTTCATTTGATCCTTCCTTTCTTGTGTCGTTCAGTTTTGTCTTGATCCTTATCTTTTTTTCCTATATGTATATGTTTATTATCTATTCCTTTTCTTCTGTCTGTTACCTATATAATAATCTGAGTTGAATCGCTGTTAAGATTCCATTTTTATCTCTTATATTAACATACCACATTCAGCCTTTCTTAAAATTTGTGTTAATGCAAGTGCCCAGTTTTGGGCTGGCCGAGTGGCTCGTTGGTTAATACTTGGCTCAGGAACGTGAGCTCTGAGGAGCAGGGCCGCTGGTTTGGATCTGACATGGGCTAGTGGCGCTGCGCCCTCTACAGCTAAGATGATGAACAACAGCTCGACCTGGAGCTGGGCTGATGTGAGTCGCCAGCAACAGTGTAGGCTGCAGTGGGGCTGCAGTGGGCTGCCGTGAGCCACAGTGAGTGGCTGGCAGCCAGTGTGAGCGGCCGGCAGCTGGGGTGAGCGGCCGTCCAATGGCCAGTGATGGATCTGCCTCAGCCGGGAAGAGCGCAGTGATCCCAGCACCATCATGGGCCAGTGAAGTGACGTCCACCACAACTAGATTGAAGAACAAAAGGACAGCAACTTGTCTGTTCCCCTTCCCCAATTCCCCAATGCTGTTCCCTCCCCCAATTCTCCAATAAAATTTTAAAAAATAAAAGGAAATGACCAGTTTTAAAAATACTGTGTACATGACATAATACTATGTGAAGGAGTTATCATTCTCTTCAGAGTGATCACTTTATTTTTAACTGAAAATTTGTTTCATCAGAGCTTAATTGGACATTTCACTCTTAAGTCAAAAGAGAAAAAGAGTGTTCTAAAGACCTGATTTTATGGCGTTTGGAGCCCATTGTGTCTGTGCTGACACATGCCTCTCAACTACAAGAGCCTCAGTATAATGACCTTATTGGATCTACATGACTCTGTTCTTGTGGCTTTACTTTTTTGGTCCAAGTTTGAACTAATGTAGGGCTTTCATTGTCATTTGAATAATCCTTCAAGTATTGATTCTGATTTGGTTGATTTAGGACTGTACTTGTTATCCATTTTACTCTTGAGTTCCTTGATTCTTGCTATGACTTTGATCCTCTCTTCCTTGGACTTCAGTTCCTTCATGATTTCTAGCTTTAATTTCTTCTTCTGTTTCTATTCTCAAGCAAATACTTGAAGGCTTTTCCTCAGAGAATATTTGCATGTCCTTTATTAGTTGTTAGTTTTGGTTCCAAGACCAGTCTGGTGATTAAAACCAAATATGTAATAGGAGCAATTTTAAGTTTAGACCTTGAACCCATCTTTTTAAATATTATTTTAATCTACCTGATTTTTTTCACAAATTTGAACCCCAAATTTATTTTCTTATGTTTTATTATCTGTAGGAATAATTATGAATAATGAACTGTGGTTTATCTCTTTGGTTTATTTTTATATTTTCCTAATGTAGAATAGAGTACTTTTAGAAATCCATCTTACTTTTTTAAAGAATAATCTTGTTTTTATTCAGAACTGTTTGGCATCTTTTCCAAACACTAAATGCTTTTTTAAAATGTTTAAGAATTTGCCATCAGTATTTACACCTTAATCAAATTAATCTTTGTTGTCTTTCAGCCAGTGTCTTTTAAGTTTTCATTCCTGTTTTTCCTGTCATATTGCCTTCTTCATTTACTGGTTGACCTATTTCCCCTGTTCACTTGCTACTATTTCCTTTTATGTTCTCTTCTTCCCTATCCTCCACCCTTTTAATATCTACCAGTTGTTGCCATGAAATTATTTTTTTCCTTGAACTTAAATGTTTTTATTCATTTTGGGCATTATAGGAAAAGCTCTTGGTGCTATTTAAATACTCAGAGTACACAGTGACTATCGTGCAAATTCATAAATTGTGTGACTGATGGTGATTTATGGTATTTTGTACACTATTTATCACTTTATTTTATCTACCCTCCCTGAAGTAGGAGATCTACATAGAGCAGTAATTTGCTTTTGCCTCTTTCTGCCCCTTTAAACTTTGCTCCATTTGTCCTATTATCTTCAAAATTAATTCTTAATTTATAAGTACGGAAAACCAATTGGGACCACCAGCTCATTGTAAGTGATCTGCATTTTCAGGGACTTTCAAGAAGGGTAGAGACCTGAGATTCTATATTCTTTCCTATTTTAAACTTGGTTTATGATTTTAGTACACACTAGGAAGCAAAATAAAAATCTGCTCTTCAGTGATCATATGAGAAACTTGCTCTGAGACCCTGATCAGTGGGGAAATGACTAGCGACTTTTTATATTCTCGCTACAGCTTTCTTCCTTTTTTTTTTTAATTAAATTTATTTAGGGTGACATTGGTTATTAAAATTATATAGGTTTCAAGTATACATTTCTATAATACATCACCATATATTTGATCCCTTTACCCTCTTCTACCATCCCCCCCTCACTACAGCTTTCTTTACAAAGCTCCATGTAGGCCATCTGTAGTGTTCTCAGTTCCACATTACTTAAATTTCCCTTAAGAGCATATAGTTCTCTGTATTGGAATATAGTCTCTGTAAATGCAGCTTCAAAACTTGTTTCAGGTGTCCAGATTTATCTGAATATGCCTCATAGTCACTATGGCCTTACTCTTCCCACTGTCTTAGCTTCCTGGAAAATAAACATTTCCTCATTAAACCTTTGACCCTACTGCCTGCTTGTAACCGTTACTTCTGTGAAATAATGGCCACTCAGACAACAGTAGACATTTCTTTCATTTTGCCCAGTCTACCAAGCTCCTTCAGTGAATTCTGACTTCTTGACTTTCAGCAAACTGTTATATCTGAGTTGTTATGGAAGGTACCACATGCTTTGGTTTGTGAATAGAGTAAATGTCTCTGGTAATATTCCACAGGGAAAATCCTGGTGTGGATGGAAAGAGGGAAAGAGTGGTGTATCTCCTTAATTTTGTTGATATTTTTCTCATTAAAATCACACACAACATCTGCAGTTAAACTTTTCTCTGATGTGGTTTTCGTTTCCTACGAGTGTAAGTATGTTTTCCACAGAAGTAGTTTTATCTCCCTTCTGTGAGTTTGGCCTCTCTTCTTTCATTTTCTATATAGATAATTTCTCTACTATTAAAAAAAACAAAACTCCTTTATAAAAAGTATTTATTCATAAAGATCCTTAATTGATGAGAACAGAGAATGTCATAGAGAATTCATTTCAATTTTAAATGGAAAAATATGATTAGCATATAATAGGCTAATATTAAAAGGATAAATATAACAAAAAAGGAAAAAGATAAATACAGATTTATGTTTATGGATAAGGAAAAGTCTCACGGTATTTGTTCATAGAAAAAAATGTTTGGATATTATGTGTAGCATAGCATGGTCTTACGTTCACTTTAAAAATATTATATGTGTGATTATATAGGTTTAAAGGAGAGTCTAGACTACCCATCAGATTACCCATTAATGGTAGTTTTCTGCTCTTTAGTGCGATTAAAGGAAGAGGAAATTCATCTTTTATTTCACTCATTATTTTAATTTTTTACAACAAATATTCTAACCAAATTTTGAAAGACATGATAAAAGCAATTGTGCAAATTTTTTAAAATTGCAATACTTACTGATATTTTAGAGTATTTTTGTTAACTTTAAACGGTGAGAAGTATATTAATGCCCTGGGTGGTTACTCTTAAAATGTATTATTGAGTAGTGAAATTGCTTATAATTTTTTTTTAGAAAAGTTATTTCTGTGTGCTCTGAAATTAGGTACTGTATTTGACTATGTATAAGACGCTCCCATGTATAAGACGCACCTTAATTTGGGGGCCTGAAATTTGAAAAAAAATGTATTACATAAAGTTATTGAACTCGTTTTATTCATCATAAAATTCATACAACTCCTCATCACTGTCAAAACTCCCAACCATTAGCTTGTCCTCATCTATGTCTGATGACAAATCACTGTCTTCATATATTGCCTCTCATGGCCTTCTTCTGCCGTGGCGTTTTCAGTAGTGTTTCTTCTTCCTGTAGCCAGTCTCAGATTGTTTTCTCAGTTGGAGGAGGATCAAACTTACGTTAAGCAGCACGATTTCCATTCACTTTTGCAAACTGGATCACTGTTAACTTGAATTCAGCACTGTATGAAAATCTTTTCTGAGCCATTTCTGGGCAGAACGTGGCAAAACCTAACCTACCGTAATATACCGGTAACAAGTGCGAAACAGTGAGCGCAAAGACAACAAGCGCGAAAAAGTGGGAAATGCAAGTAAAAAAAACTACAACAATGAGCACAAAAAAAGCAGGAAATCCAAGTAAAAAAATCTACAACCACTGTATAAGACACACCCAGTTTTTAGACCCCAAATTTTTCAGAAAGGGGTGCATCTTATACATGGGAAAATACGGTACTTTAAAAAATTATGTTTCTGTGTCTTTTCTGGGGAGGAATAGAATAACATAATCTAATGCTGTTCTATCTGGGCAAAAGTAAAAAAGAATTCAGGAATCTTATCTCTGTTTCTTTTTCTTTTTCTTTCCTTCCCTGTCTCTCTTTCTCCATCCCTATCCCTTCCCTTTTCTCTCTCCTTCTTCCTCCCTCCTTCCCCACCCACTCTTCTTTCTTCTTTCTCCTTTCTTCCCTATATCCTTCCTGCTCATCCACAGACACACAGAGATTCAAGGGGAAGATAGAAGGGAAAAAAGTGTTTGAAACCAATAGGAGAATATAATTTTGGTATTCTTATTATTCCTATATAACAGTCCAATATTGTTCTTAAATTAATGCCAAGTATCTCAGTTGTTTTAAATAATCTACCCAAGTGCACTAAGCTTGAAATATGATTTGTGAGAGAGCTCACCTGACAGTATGTAAATTAGCTAGATAAGTCTTAAAACTTTCAGTGATTACTAATAATTATTAGATGTGTCTTGTAAATTTACTTTCTGAGTCCTGATAAACTTCTAAGGGGGCTGACAGTTTTCAGTTTATTAGGCTAGCTTGTGTGAAGCCAAAAATGGTATGCCATATGCTCTAGCATTTGTTTGGATTGTTATATTATTATTTTTTTCTTTTGTTCTTTTTTTTCTTCCTAAACAAAGTGCATCTTTCCACTTTTAGTGTACTCGACAAATTATCTCTGAGAAGCTAGGCCGTGGATCAAGAACTGTGGACCTTGAACTTGAAGCTCAGATTGATATATTAAGAGATAACAAGAAAAAATATGAAAATATTCTAAGACTGGCTCAGACATTGTCGACCCAGCTTTTCCAGATGGTGCATACCCAAAGGCAACTTGGAGATGCGTTTGCTGACCTGAGCTTGAAGTCACTAGAACTCCATGTAAGATTATTTTAAATAACTATTGGGAGGTGAGGGGTGGAGAATGGCAATAGGAGTATTTTAAGAGGAAATTTGTTGCATTTCTGATTTGCTGAACTCTTAATAAAATTGGCATCTTGAGGTGTTCTTTTTAGATATTTCATATAATTTCTAAGAGGGCCTCACTGACTTCTGTCAACATAGTGAAACAATTGTACAGAGGTTTCAGGGGAAGGGAACTTGGAAAGGAAAAAGAGACAGTCTGCCTGAGCCTAGAAAGAATCATAGCTATGTATAGCTGGGCATGAATGAAAAGTAAATTCTGGTACCTATTGAAAATCTCTTATGTAGTCTCCAAGTGCCTTGAACAAATAGTAACTTGCTTGACTGGATTTGTGATATACTTTACTGAAATCATTAATATAAATTATGAATTTTAGAATGGAGTTATTTTTCTGCATAGATCTCTAAATTTTCAGTAAAGCATCTCTAACAATTAGTTATATCTTAAGTGACTCCTTTTATGTCTTTTTTTTTTTTCCCCCTCACCTGGAGCCAAAAGGTGCAGAAATCCCTTGCCTACAGATTTTTAGCTTGAAGAGTTAAATAATCTAGAGTAGTAAATCATTTGATAATATCTAGAAACTTAAACAAAGACATTTCAGTTAGAGGTGGCGATGTATGTCATAATAATGAAAAATATTGAGATTCAGTTCTAACTGAGTCATTAGACAGAAAAAGAATGAATTAATATCTGGGAAGTGGAATAATCATAACAGCTGCAGTTACTGAATGTCCACAATTCCAGTGTAATGCGCTGGGTGCTTTGTAGACATTATATCATGTCATTTATTTAACAATACTGCAGGAAATGTTATCCGATTTTATGGATGAAGAAACTGAGGCCAAGAAACATTAGGTAATTTTTATAAGATCACCAAAAAAAATGAAAGGTAGAACTGGAATTTATATCCAGGCCTGTCTATGTTTCTCCATGAGCTCTTGCTGTCTCTTTAAGGAGAATCTTTAGAGGATCTGTGACCCAGAGAAAAAGCCCCACAGTATAGACAGAGGTAGCCAGGGTATCGGGTCTAGAGAAGTGTAGCAGCAGTATTATCAGTGATGCTACATTCAGTAAACCCTATGAACTATAGTAGTCAACACAGATTGGGTGCTTACTGTATGCCAGGTACAGTTCCAAGTGGTTTTAATATGTGTTAGCACGTCTAATGCTCAATCTGAGCTAGTAAGTACTTTTTATTTTCTTTCTTTTCTAGATGTGAAATCCTTTTTTTACAGACCTGAGAGGTTAATCCTCAGTACTCAAGTTCATTGGACCCAGTTTTAATTTTTGAGTTTCTTGTTTGAGCATTTCTAACTCTTTGTAAGGACTGACATTTCATGACTTTTGTTCTTTCTTAGAGGCCTTCCAATGAGAAAATTAACTTATTTTTTCTAATAGAATAAAACTTTTTATATTGCAACTCCCAGGTGGGTCCGTTAGAAATCAAAGACATGGTGTGGGATCTTTATGACTTTATTTTCCTATATCTGAAAACAGTTTGCTGTTTTATCATCTTAAAAATTATTTCATCATTACTATCACTTATTTCCAACCATGCTAAAAAGGACTAAGATAATAAGAAAACAAAAGAATGACAGCATTGCCTAGAAGAATGATACAGTAATGAGATAAATACTTTGTGTTGCCAAAAAAAAAAATCTGGAGAAACCGTTTCTGTGGTCTTTTTTTTTAATGTTCATGCAATACAGTTGCGAATTTAGTTTTCCATTTCCTGCCCATAATGGCCAAGAGAAGACAATACCAGAGGAAGACATTTCATAATTAGACAAATCAGAAGATGGCTGCAAAGAGACAGCAGTATTGACTCTTCCTGATGATGGCAAAATTGATAATATAAGTGAAATATTAGTCCGTGAGTCTTCTGATGATGATATCCCAAATGAATTTTCTTAAATTCAAGTCAGTGAGTCACAGTATATTATTAGGGACAAAAAGGAAATCAGGATTCTTCAGAGAAATGGAACCAACAAGATGTATAGCTCTATAGAGATTTATTTTAAGAACCTGGTTCATGTGATTGTGGAGGCTCGGTACATTCAAAATCTGTGGGGTAGATTGGCAGGCTGGAGACCCGGGGAAGTGAGTCCAAAGGCAGTCTGCTAGCAGAATTCCTTCTTGCTCAGGGAAGTCAGTTTTGTTCTATTAAGGTCTTCCGCTGATTGGATGAGGCCCACCCACATTATGGAGGGCAATCTACTTAACTCACTATCCACCAATTTAATTATAATCTCATCCCAAAACACCTTCACAGAAACATTCAGACTAATGTTTGATCAAATATCTGGACACCATGGCCTGGGCAAGTTGACATATAAAATTAACCATTGCAGGTATTTTCATCTAGTCAGTCATTCAACAGCAGTGACTCCATCATGCAATATTTTTTGGACAAGAATCTGGACCATCTTATTTCTCTAAAAAGACATGCTATATTCTTTTATGATATTTATACACCAAAATGTATTTGATGTGATTTGTTAGTGAACAAATGCTGAAGCCAAGTGTGTATACAAAAGTGATTTGAAGGAAATAGATAATTCATTCAATTGAACATTCTAATTGATGTTTATAAATGTAAAAATAATGGTAAACTAGAACCTGCTGGAGATGTATTTGAAATCTGAAATCATTATTAACAGGATGCATGTTTTTGTATCAGTCAGGATTTTCCAGAGAAATAGAATCAATAGGAGATATGTACATCACACACACACACACACACACACACACACACACACACTCTTATACATGCACACACACACAGAGATTTATATATTTATATTAAGGAATTGCACACCCAATTGTGAAATCCATACAGTAGGCCAACAGGCTAGAAACTCAAGCAAGATTTCTGTTACAGTCTTACGGCAAAATTCTTTCTTGTTCCTGGAAACCTCAATCTTTTGCTCTTAAGGCCTTCAACTGTTTGGATGAGGCCCATTCACATTATGGAAGATAATCTCCTTAAGTCATCTTTATGTCATATCTACAATGTTTATCATTGTAAATGTTAATCACATCAACAAAAAAAATGTACCTTCATAGCAACATCTAGTCTGGTGTTTGACTAAACAACTGGACACAATAGTCTAATCAGGTTGACACATAACATTAACTATCACAGTCTGCCCTTTGTCAATTTAACCCTTACATACATCTTAAACCATACTTAATCTCCAAATAAAGAAGACAATAACAAGTCTTACTTCCAGCTAATGTGATACAACTATTCGGCATACTATCAAAGACACACTAACCCTTTTCCCAGAAGAGGATGCAAATTGGGTGATGTTCACTTTTTTCTTTGATATTCTGTAACTTAAATACTATGATGTAAAGTTAGTATATCTTATGTTACATAATAAGGGGATAAGAGGGGAAAAAACAGGTAATTGCTTCACACACACACAGACACACAAACACACCTGTACCTTAATAGCAACATCTAGACTGGTGTTATAACAAAATAAGGAAGAAATACTCGATTATAGTCCTCTTTTCTACAAATGGTCACATGATCGTAGCTGCTTCCACTCCCCATTCCATATAGCATTTTTCCTCAGCTAGCACTTCAGCCTGTTGTGGTTCTCTGCCTGGTGGGGTGACCCAAACCTTCCTTCCTGAAGGGCCCAGGCCATTAGTAGTCCTGTCTGAAATGGGTTGTCGTAGGTTTCCATTGACATGAGTCACAGGTCATGATAGCACTAAGAGATGCACTAAGGGATTGTCTATATTTCAGACATGCTCTTCCTTACCTCCATTGCAGAGCAGCAGTCCAGTTTCCCCTTGGTAATCAGGATCAATTATGCCAGACAGCAAAGTACCTCCTTTCTTTGTTGATTCTTTATAAGGAAAAGTTTGTGGGGTGCAGTGGTGAAGAGCTGGTGTCTACTGCCTCTCGCCTTGTGCCGTATTAACTGAGATCCATGGAAAATACTTAGCACAGGGCCTGGCACAAAGTGGCAGTGAATAATTTATGATGTGATTGATAGCTGTTGTTGGGATTGTAGCATTTGGGAGGTGAGGAATAATCTAAAAATTAGTCCAATTCCTTCGTTTTTGTAAGAAACAACCAAAACCCATCAGTAAAAAAAGCAAATCTCCTCAAGGGGATAGGAAATGATCTTTTGGTGATCATCTGTCAGAATCTTTATACAGGTTATCTGATTATACTTCCTATCAAGCTTGTATGGGAATGGTCTTCATTTTATTAATAAGGAAACTGAAGCACAAAGAATTTGAGTAATTCACAAAAGACACAAGTTCAGTCAGTGGCAGAATTAAAATGAGACTCCCAGGCTGTCTGAATTCCCAAACTAGACTGTTATCATTTTATCACATGTCTTCTGACTCCTAGTTTTCTTATACTATGGCCCCTTATTTAATTGTAATTTCTCAATCTAGAGGGTAATGCCTACATCAAGATTAGGAAAGTTCATGCCATCCCTATTACTGTATTTATCAGTTAGTACTTGTGATTCTAGGTTGTTGTTTTTTGGGGTTTTTTTAGCTGAGCCATCCTGCCACCTGTTGGCAGCTCAGCGACAGCTCAACTTGGGCCAGGAATCGAACCAGCGACCCTGTTGCTTAGAGCTCACACTCTTGAGCGAGCTCTTAACCAACTGAGCCACTCAGCCGGCCCAAGATTCTAGTTTTTTTGCTGCTCTATATTATTGTTTAAAATAACCCATTTGTTATTAATTAGGTAATAATTCCTATTACTAAGACTTGATGTTTTAGACCTAATCGGGTACTTCTGTTATTTGGTCCTAATGTGTAAGTGTAATGGGAAGTGGTGGTCATTTTCATCTGCTAAATTTATATCTAGTGAACGTTGCAAACAATGTAGGAGCTGTGAGAGTAAAGAAAAGATTCAAGTGTTGTGAAACTTTTGTTCTCTCTATATATAAAGCAAGCAAATTTTTAGATCAAGATCAAGGAATTGTATTGGCCTTCCTTCTTCAGTGGCAGATTAGAACTACAGGCCTGTTCTTGATATATATACCCTTTGATTATTTTGTTTGTTTATTTGTAATCGCTAAGGCAATTTACGATACTGCCCCATCCAACTGAGAATACTAATATAACTTAACCAACTAAATGAAATTTAGGAGTCATGGTTTATCTTATTTTTGATGCCAAAAAAAAAAACATGTTTAGGCTGGCCAAGTGGCTCAGTTGGTTAAGAGCTTGCTCAAGAGTGTGAGATCTGAGCTACAGGGTCTCTGGTTCGATTTCTGGCCCGAGCTGAGCTGCCACTGAGCTGCCAACACGTGGCAAAATGGCTCAGCTAAAAAAAAATAAATTAATTAAATTAAATTAAATTTTAAAAAGCATGTTTAATTATTCATTTGTAATTTATATATGTATATATATTCATTTCTTTCCAGTCCTGATTATTTTATATCTTTTACCTGCCTCTTATGTCTTACTATAAAAAAGCTCTTTTATTCTAGTTAAGTTTTCAAATTATACATTAAAATATTAAGTTTTATACACATTTTCTTCACAGAATTGTAGGTGAGATTTATATTCACTAAACAGAACAGTGTCAGTTTACTCTTCCTGTCTGCTTTGAATTTAGGCCTGTTTTTCTCATCTGTAAATACAAGATTCCAGAGTCTGCTACATAACGTTTCAGTCTGCTGCTATTTCATCTTCCTATACTCTAGTGTTGTTTGTTTTTAGTGAGTGAGCAGCCTTCTAGGTTGTATAGATCTCCCTGTGGCTAAATTAGGACTTGTGGCGTTTTCAAAATTAATAATGTGGAATTGTGAATATTGAAGACTTTTAGAAATGAACATTGTTCAGGAATGTGATGTAATGATATATCTTTGTTATGCAGTGAGCAGAAAAAGTTTCCTGACTTTTTATGGTTTCCTTTTCCTTTACTTTTTCCTTCCTTTTTATATTTATATCCAGTCAAACTTTTCATAATTTTTCTTCCTCTTTTTAATTTTTTTTTTGCCTTCTACCTCTTAATAAATACCAAAGGTAATAAGTAGAGTTGTAATATGTTATGTGAACTCTTTCTAAAAGTGGTAAAAATGTTTTCTCCCGTATTATTCTGTTTCCCGTAACAGTTTTTTAGTCTTCAGTATGCAACTTAGCTTTAAAACTTGGTACCAAAAATCTTTAGCTATCCTGCCTTTCATTTTTATATAAATGGATTGATATTTCTTTCATGTAATCCTATTATCTGCCAATATTTGCAAACGAAGGACTGTAAAATTTTGAAGACTGAGTCCCGAGTAAAGAGTTACTAGACCTCTGTTAAATGGAAAATGCGTTAAGCATGGTAACTATTTTTACTTTCTTGCTATTTATTAATGATTGAGTATTTTATCAATAGAAATTTAATTATAGCTATAGCTCTAGCATTAAATTTGCATCTTCTGAGATTCTAGTTAATTTAATATTACATTTTTTTCAGCTGAAATTAAAAAGTGTTGTCTAACAAACTTCAGAATTCTCGAATTGAGTGATATATCTTACAATATAACGTAATCAGATTTTTTATTTGGTCAGATGTGTTCCTGATAATCTCTTAATTAATCTAAGTTGGACTGAAAAGCTTTCACTGCTGAAAATTTAGAGTTAGTCCTTGACATATCTGCAGGAGTCATGTGTGTAATGTTGCTTTGCCAAGATTCCGTTTATTCAGAGAAATGAATTAAAACTGGTGTTGAGTGATCCTTCCTCAGCTGTGTGCCTCGATAGACCTGAACTTGGGGGTCAACTGGTCACTAAGTTTACAAAGAAATGTGTATTGTTAATATTTATACGTTGAGGAGATTTAGTCAAAACACAAAAATTGCAATCTATTTTATGTCTGAAGGTTTTAGCCAATTGTTACCTAATTTGGTTGTGAAAGTTATAGTTCTCTGATTAATAATCTGCTATATTTTTCTTCTTAACAGCTGTGCTTACAGTATAATAGAAACAAAACGTAGAAATGAAAATATTCTTTCTAGTACAAAGTAGTTTAACTTTTTTAAACTATTTGATTTTAGCTGTGCATCTGAGCTGATGATAGTTTTGGTTTACTAGACTTTTGTTAACTATGTATAGCTGGTTGTGGTTCCTGTTTATTTAAACATTGGAAGAAAAAACTTCTATAGTTAGATTTCTAAATCAGATGTTTCCTCATTAGTGATATGTTTGAGATTTTTTTAGTCACATTTACTAATTCAGCACTGGATAAGTTAAGGTGACTTTTTTGTTTTAGGAAGAATTTGGCTATAACGCAGATACCCAGAAGCTGCTGGCTAAAAATGGAGAGACTCTTCTTGGAGCCATTAATTTTTTCATTGCCAGTGTGAACACTTTGGTGAATAAAACAATTGAAGATACATTAATGACTGTGAAACAGTATGAAAGTGCCCGGTAGGTATAAATGTTCACAATATTATCTGTTTTATAGATAGTATGTAGTTCAGTTAAGAATTTTGGTTGCAAATAAGAGGAACCAACTCTGGCCAATATGGGCAGGAAAAGGATGTGTTACAACTAACAAGTAAGGCAGGAGAACAGATCCTAGAAGCAGGCAAGAACCAAAGCCAAGATAATGCCTCAGAAGAATCTAACTAGGACCCTGAATCTGGGTGTTGTGGTACTGGGTCTCCTGCCACAGCTACTATAAATAATTTCTAAAAGGCCCCTGAATACTTTGCTTCATAGCCTTGAGAGTATTGGATTGAACCCTGGTCATGTGCCCAAACCCTCCCTGCTAGGGAATAAGGAGGTGATGGATCTCCCAGCTCCAGCCTCCTTAGAAGAAGACGGGTAGATACTAGATGCCTTCTGTAATCTGGCCAAAGCCTACCTTTTCTACCACTGCTTCCCAATATAAGCAGTTACATAGTTTACATAACAGCCAGCTCATAGTTTCAATTTCTCTTGAATATACAAGCTCGTCCCTGCCTCCATGATTTTGTTTATGATGTGTATACCAACTCCCTGATCTTCCATTTATCCAGATTATAACCAGCCTTTAAACTCTTTCAAATGTTACCTTTTACATAAATTAAATATTTGCCTTATATTTTCATAGCTGTTTATAATGCAGTGTTTTCATACATTTTATATCTATACACACACATGCATATATGATTTCTCTTTCTCATAACCATCCTGTTAGGTAAACAGAGTACATATTAGTAAATATTTACAAGTGTCTAAAAAGTAGTAGACCTGGTATAGCATTTTCATCTTTTGATTCCAGGCCCCATATTTTTTCCCTTTGAGTTTTTTTTCCTCTGACCACTTGAAATTTTTATTTTCTGTTACACTTTTTGTACCATAGTTGAAATGCAAACTACCTTCTAGAAGTATAACTTTACGTTTTGGCCTCTTGTCCTAGTTTAATGATGTGAGAAATGCCTATGAAAACTCTAAATTCATCTAGTCTTGGTTTTTTTGCAATTGAGTGCTTATTCTTAAGTAAATATTTCCTTATGCTTCACATAAGAAAAGCCCAAATCTCTTGAAAAATTAACTTTGATCTTTTCACAAGAAGAGACGCTTCTGTCCTATGCTGTGTTTGTAATTTTCAGTTTAGTATTAACGTATGAGATTCTTATTGACTTAGAAATGAAGGTCAAGACACATAGCTATGGTTGTCCGGTGTGAGAGGGCCGGATGGGGCTGCGCGCTTTATTTAAGTTTTAGACTTGGTTTTTTACTTTTCTTTATTGTTTAACTTATTTACTAACATAGTATTAAAATCAGAAGGTGGAAAAGAAGAAAAAGAATCTATCAGTAGCATTTTCTTCAATAACATTGAAGGAATCTTTCAAAAAGATAGTCTTCCATAGGAATTCCTTCAATAACAGTCCCAGTAATTGGCTGTCCAGTCTCTGTTTAAATCCTCTCATGGGCATTGTCTGTATTTTTCCAAAGATTTATTATATGTATTTTTCACTTCTATATATTTTATTTGGTTCTTTTCTAAATTTGTCTGTTCCTTACTTATAATGTCTTAATTTGTTCTCTTCTTTTTGCATACTCTTCCTTTTTCTCTTTAATCATTTCACTCATTCTTATTTTCTAGTCTTTAAAATTATTTTAATATTTGTGGGTTTTGGAGATGAAAATTCTGTTGTTCCAAAAGTGCCCCCACCTCCCTCCCAGTTATGCACTACATGCATCTAGTTTCTGTTTCTCAACTTTGTAATTGTCCACCTATTCAGAAATATGTTTTAGTCACTAAAATATATTTTAAAATGTAAAATATATTTTATTTTAAGCATGTAATATCTTTCTCTTTAGCATTCATTTCTAACATGCTTTTAAAAATATTAATCCATATTAGAGAAAGACAAATTTTCTAGATAAGTCACTGTTCACACACAAGACATTTTATATTTAATTTGTAGAGGAGAAAAATAGGCCTCTAGAGGTTAAATGGTTTGCTCACTTGGAAGCAATTTAAAACCAAAATAAGAACCCATGTGCTCCCTACCTTCTGCTTTTGATCATTAGGCCCAAAGTTTGAACTGGATTAATCTCAAATTTTCACATCTTGTGATGAGAAATCTAACTTAAAGTACAATGTGATATAAGATTTCAGTTTATTCAGTATATGGGTTTGTTTGAAACTTTTGAACACAAATATAAATCAAGTTATATGTACTACCCCTGTGTGTACTTTAAAAACCACCAATAATGACCTCACCCCATAATTTATTCTTTTTTATTAAAATTACAGTATATGATTTTATTTATCCAGCTTAGCTTGAGGTTTGACTTTTCTGTGCTTTTTCTGAAGTAGTTGGGGAATTGACTAGTTGTAACACTAAAATATTGCCTACTGAGGGATAAAATTTAAAAAAGAATCCCAGATTAAAAGTTTCTTAGTAGCTGAATTTTCTTCCCCGTCAAAACCAGAATTTACTGACTTTTAGGGCAAGGGTCAACTATTTGATCCAGCACAAAAAGTGGCAATTTAGGCCAGTGTCCGGCTGGCCTTTTAATGCTCTCCATTATGCATTGTGTACAAGTATTTCCTAGCCCTCTGGTGCTTCATGTATAGAAAATCTTGTAACAGCCCATTCAGCACTTCTCCACAGCAGCACCAACAAGGGAGTCAATTGTGGTCAAGACTTTTCAGATGTGGACACCTGTTCTCTGGAAGTTTTACATAAGCCGTAAAGTATCCCAACTATCACTAACTTTACTGATATGGACTCAGTTCAGACTGGCAACCTTGAAGTGAAGAGTTGCATTTTGAAACCTTAGTGTGCTTCTCTTCCTGATTGTAATAAGCACTGTTAGAGACACTCTCATGGAAAATTTTATTTTGATGCCATCTGTAAATTCCGGATGTGAAAATTAAGGGATGTAAAGTCAGTACTACAACTTTTATGATGTTTAAATTAACCCTATTGTATAGAAATGTGCTCCGATGTTATATTTGCCTTCACATTAAATTATCACGTATTACTGTTTACATTTATTCTACTTTTGTCTCTTTCATTTCTTAGTGTTTTTAGTACGTTTACTTCTGGCTATCACTCTTATAATTTAGCCATAATAATAAGCACTCTAAAGATACTAGTGATTACCTGGTGTCCTAAATACTTTATATCCGTGAAGTTTTTGTGGAGATTATTATTCCCATTCATAGATGAAAAACAAAAGCAGAAAGAGATAAAACAACTAGCTGAAAACATAGCCAGTGAAGGGCAGAGTGGATATTCAGCTGTCTAGAACCCATGGACTTAGTACCTTGGTATTATTACCAGGTCAGTCTTGCCTTCTAAATCTCTAGTATCTACCTTTCTCCTTCTTCTTAGCTGCACTACCATTGTCCTGATTCAATGACTCATTTTTCTTTTGCCCCTAGTCTTCTAATTGGTTTCTTTACTTCTAATTTCTTAATCTTCGACTCCAGTTCATCCTCCATTTCTTATTACAACCACTATAGTCATCTTCCTATCCTGAACAAATAGAACATGTTAGCTTTCTAGATCAAAGTTCTTCAGTGGCTTCCCATCACTTGTCCTACCGGATTAAATCTGATCCTTTAGCATGGCCTGTAAGGCCCTGCTTAATCTCAGTCCTGCCTACCTATCTGACTTTAATTCCTTCTATTATCGTGTTGCAACTTCAGGTTCTAACATATAGAATTACCTCCCCAATGTTTCATGGTATCTTACAATGGATAAATATGCCTTTGTCCATACTGTTCTCTTCCTGGAATGTTCCAATTTCCCTGCCCCAATCTACCTCATTAGCTTTTGCCATCCTTTAAAATTTAATTCTAGTGTTTTAATTTTCTGAGATCCCTTTCAGATACCTAACTAGGAACTTCTTGCTGTGGGATCATGGAGTAATGATGGGTGGTGTCACTATTTCAGTTAGTGGTGGGAGAAGATTAACGGGGAGGCATCCCAGGAAACAAGGTGCTAAGTGCCATCTCACATTCTGAATGCTAATGTTATGGAAATCCATCTAGAGTTGAGCTGTCCCATACAGTAGCCAGTAGCCACTAGCCATGTATTTCTGTTGAGCACTTAAAATGTGGCTCGCCTGAACTGAATTGTGATGAAAGTGTAAAAAACACAGTGGATTTCAAAGACTCAGTGCACTCCCTCAAAAAAGTAAAATAGGGGCCGGACCAGTGGCTCAATTGGTTAAGAGTGCGAGCTCTGAGCAACAGGGTCTCTGGTTCAATTCCACATGGGCCAGTGAGCTGAGCCCAAGCTGAGGTGCCGCTGAGCTGCCAACAGGTGGCAGGATGGCTCAGCTGGTGAGAGCACATGCTTCTAACAACAAGGTTGCTGGTTCGACTCCTGCATGGGATGGTGGACTACGCCCATCCGCAACTAAAATTGAACATGGCATCTTGAGCTGAGCTGCCCTGAGCTGCCAACGGGCAACCGATGGTGACTATACTTGGAGCTGAGCTAGCTGCTCCCTCCACAACTAAAATTGAAGGACAACAACTTGGCTGTTCCCCTTCCCTAATTTCTCAGCACTGTTCCCCTTCCCCAAATCCCCAATAAAATCTTTTAAAAAAAAAAGTAAAATAGCTCATTAACAATTTTTTACTTTGATTACGTGTTACAATGATAATATTTTGGATTTTTGAAAACATATTGTTAAAAAATGGGTGAAATTAATTTTTATTATTTTAATGTGACTACTAGAAAATTTGAAGTTACATATGTGGCTTGCGTTATTTCTATTGTGCATTGCTGACCTGAACTGTACTTTAAGGACTGCTGACGCTCAGTGTAACTTCCTTTTATCAGTTACTTTAAATATGTCATTCTAAAGTCTGCTGCCCTCACCTGCTTGGCCAATTCACGTAAGGATTGATCACTACCCTTGATCGTGTTAGCATTAGGCTTTAGCACCTGTTTTTTTAAAACTGGTTTTTAAATTTTGGAAATTTTACTTGTCAGTTAATACTGTACTTTGGGAGGAATAATGAGATTAATAGGCAGCTTCCTTCTTCCCCCCCCCTATTGTATTAATAGTTCTTTGTATGAAAGAAATACATGATTTTAAAAGCATAAGGTATAAAATATGTATGCGAATTATTATATATTAATATATAGTATGAGATGACTGTATATTTCAACTCATCTCCTGAACTTATTTCACTCTGTTTTTGTAGTATGCTTCATTTATTCTCTTCTTTCCAGGATTGAATATGATGCATATCGCACTGATTTGGAAGAACTGAATCTTGGACCACGTGATGCAAATACTCTGCCAAAGATTGAGCAGTCACAGCATCTGTTCCAAGCACATAAGGAAAAATATGATAAAATGCGCAATGACGTTTCTATCAAGTTGAAATTTCTAGAAGAAAATAAGGTAAACTCATTCTTTACCTTCTGAGATCTTTCTGTGGACTTTAAAACAAGGTTACCCTAAAGAGAGATAAATAGAAATTTTTTTTTGTTTCTGTTAACTCCCTTTTATTACAGTTGCAAAACAGAATTCCATTTATAATCAGTGTTTGAGTTTTTAGAGTACACAAAATATATTTACCTGTCATAAAAGTCATCATCAACTCTGCTGTCCCAGTCTTTCATATGTAACATTTGGCAAAAAATACTTGCTGTTTAACCATTGATCTTCAGATGCCCTTTGTGTCAAGTGGTTTAAAAAGTTATATAATGAGATTTTGCTCTGGATATTTTGAAACCTTTTGATTAATGGTAGGTACAGATTTCAGGAAGAGAGCAGCATACTTCCCAGTAACTGATAAATGAGAAATGACTAAAAGGTCCAGCGTAGGGCTGCAGTTAGCATAACCTAAAAGAAATAAGCCGAGAAATCAGTTGTCCACATTATGTTCATGTGACATGAACACATCCAAGGACTAAGACAGAGCTGAGATGGACCTACCATAGGCTTTACTTGAAAATGGACTCATATAATAACAGGCTCCTGAGTTTTGGTTTAAGTAAAGGACAGGTTTCCATGTTTAACATTTCTTCCATTGCATGTGTACTCAGTTTTGTGATGGGCGTTTTAGTTCTGGAAATGGAAGAGCCATAGTGAGCACAGGACAGAGTAGATGGAGCCCAGTCCCATGGACATAGGGTCTTACCCTTGCACATTGGTTGTCCCCGTCCCATGCTTTTCACATCCTACAGAGTCATGATAGGCCTTCAACTCTGCTTTCTTCCAGGTACCCTCTTAAAGTTATTCTTCACTTCTAGTTGTGTATTGATATCTCCTTGTTTTCTTTAACAGCTCCTTAGAAACTCTTCTGGTTACCATAAAAGCTGCAGAATGATACATTTCCTTGAGACCAACCAAGTCCAGCACTTTGCCTCCCCCACCTCCCCTTTTTAGCTACGATGTGTGAAAAGTATTCATGTGAAAAACATTGCAGTGGCAATAAAGGAAACTTCAGCAGACAGATTGCCCAGCATCATTCAAACAGGAGCATAGTGCAGCCTTTTGGCATTCCTTAGCTGAGCACATAAGATGGCATTCATGTTAGTCATTCTTCTATCTGTCCATACAATGGATCAGTTATACTGTTTAATATTTTGATGGGTAGGAATATATCAATACTCACATATAGATACATATTTTAAATATAAAAATATTGTTGACATACTGCCCTATAATGGATCAGTACTAAACAGTGTAGTGCTAAATGAAGTGTGCTAGAATTTTAGGGGCTCTATCCAAAGCTAATTTGAAGGGAAGTAATTTGGGGGTTCAGGACCTCTGCAAATGGAGAAAAGGATTTTAGAAATATATAAAATGGTAATTGCATTCCATTGGGATCTAATGGTATTGTGTGCCATTCTCTGGGTAGTAAGGTTATGGGTAATTCTTGTTGCCTATAAATTTTTCTGTATTTTAGACAATTTCTATGAAAGGTTGTGTTGCCTTTATAAAAAGAAAGGAAAGTTATTTTGAAAGAATCAGCACCTTTAAACCAGCCATTCTTATATGGCTCTTGCCAGAGTAAGTAAAAATAAGCAAATTGCATAAGGATAAACAATGGCCATTGAGACTGTTACTTCTCTTACTGTAACTGTTTTTGAAACTTGGCATTGGCTCTCCAGATTTCAACATGAATCAGGGAAGGCACTTACTTGTCAGTGACTCTGCAGTTTACATATATTCTCTCACTTAATCCTCGTAACAGCCTTCATTGCGCTGGCTGTAGAAAGGCAAGAACACAGTGATTTCAAGACTGCATGACAGGGATTAGGAAATCAGCATAGGAAGCTGGTTTGGCTGGAAGTTTGTGAGGGAGGAGAGATGGGCATTTGTTCTGTTTAACCCCATGTTTAGTTTGCGACCATGACAAGATAGTCAAGTGGAAACAATTGGAAAGAAGTTAATGATGTGGTTTTGGAGTTTGGATGAGCAGGATCAGGGCTTTCAGAGATAAAGGTTTGGAAGTCATTGCTTTGAAAATAACGTTGTCATTTTCATATCTTCTCTTTTTTACCTTTCTTACTATAAAATAAAAAATGAAATTGCCTTTATTCTCAAGGATTTTATGTTCTTAGCCTAGAGATATTACTTGTTTCTGGCTTCCCACAGTTGTCATCAAGCTAAATTTCAATTTGAACTCAGTAATCAGCTATGGCTAAAATAGAATCTATAAAAAACTATGACCTTTTTATCTTTTTTATTTAACTCTTCAAAACTATAAAGAGATCGTGTTGGTCTCTGTTATTTTAAGCAATAAGTAACTATAATTTGGATAAAGACAGATCCATGAGAAAACTTCTGTTTTTTGTTATTGTTGTTGAGTAACTTTTACCCTCTTCTTTTATTTAAAATCTCTAACAAAGGGAAGAAAAAGCAAGCCTTTAGGCCACAGAGCTGTCAGTCATTCTTTACTCTCTTGGCAGTTTGACATGCCTCAAATCTGGGGGTTTTTTGTTCTTTTGTTAAGTTACAGCCAACTTTGTGCTGTAACATCTCTTTTAAAGCTGGTTGTCAGGTAATCTACTTAACACTTGAGTTTTAACAAAATGTGATACACTCTTTCTATTTCTTAAATATTGTATATTGAATTTTTTAAAAACAAAAATTATCTGAAACATCAGTGAGTGTGGTGTTTTGTAACTTGATGAAGCCCTGATGGTTACTGCTTTTTTTAAAGCTGTTTTTGCAGCTTTGGGTAGGTGGCAGGGGCTTTCTTTTGGTTTATATATCATGGTTTCTGAAGTGTCTTCCCATAGCAACGCTTCTCTTCTAACATGAGATGCCAGGTAACCAAACACCTAGAATATGTATAAAGTAAAAGCAAATAGTCATTGAGTAAAGGACTCAGAACCATTCCTGTGACTATTGCAATAAATTTTAGTGGCCAGTCACTGTGAGAATGTTTTTGTTTGTTTCGTTCTTAGAACATCTTTTAAAAATATTTTGAGAGAGATTGCGCGGTAGATTCTTAGCTATATTTTATAAAATTGAGGTGTTTATATGTAGTTGGTCTAACTTTCTCTGGCAAAACAAAGAGAATAGGTGTGTAAAATACACACATTCTTGTGTATGTGCATGCATTAATGCTGAGAGATATGTGCACATATCTGTGTTTGTCATAGATTCCTAACGATTTTTAGAAATAGTTTTAATGAAAAACCTTGGATTCTTCTATTTATAATCTATACCTTCTATTCCCCCACACACCCACTCATGACATACTGTGTTTATCTTTAACCTAAACAACCCTTACTAACCTCTGATATTCTCTTCTTCATTTACTAAACAACATTGAGTTGCATAGCATTAAGGACAAAGTTAATTAGGCTCTTCTAGTGTTTCTCCTTGCATCAATATTTCTCTTTTTTTCTACACCTTTAAATAATGTAACCTGAGCTGTTTTGCAGATTAAGGCAGTTTATTTACCTTGGATTGTTCCTTTCAAGATTCAAAACAAAACCTAGGCTACCTTAGTAAAGAGACAGGAAATAGACATTTCTGGTGCTTTGTAGATGTTGTGAGCATAGATGCCATGCCTTCTTTCACAGCCCTCATGATGCCTCACCCCGGTGTTACATATGCAAATGTGCCTTTCAGTTTCTTCCCAGAGTTAGCGGTGCTCTGAAGGCAAGTGAGGAGATGGAAGTAAGTGAGAGTCAACTAGTATGGGATGGGGAGGGTGAATCCTGACTACCTCACTCTTTGCTTTAGTGAAGGCGAAGCATCCTCTCTCAGAAACGCTTCTGTTGTCTGCAGTGTGTACTGTTTGCATGGAAAGAGAAAGCAAAAACTTAGATCATTTTGAGTGGCCCATGTTTATTTTTTTTAAACAATTTTTTATATGGCTTGGAACCACATAGAATGTGAAAAAAATAAGATTAATGTTTCCCTTAAGATTACTGTAATTTAACATGTGAGTGTAGAGAAAAAAGAAAACCCTGAATGTATCAAAAGATTCAACAAGGCATTGGTTGAAGATGCATTGGGCGGTTGAAATTTATATGCCATTTTGGACAAAAAAGGGAGGTAGGTGTCTGGGATTTCAAAGAGAAAGCAGGCAATTTACAGGTACATGAGAAAGAACAAACATGTGGTAAATAAATTCTTGCTGGGCCATCCAGAAACACTAGGACACAGAGAGATGTTCAACAAACAGGCTTTCTGGGCTTCTCCCTGTCTACCACATTTAGTTTATATAATAACGCTAAGGTGATGCTCTCTTCCTTTAGGCAGATTTTTCCATCTGAATTCCTTTAGGCAGGTAAGGGGGAGAGTCAAAAAGTTTCTTCCTGAGTATTTTCTTCCTGAATAACCAGCCTAAAGTCAGTATTCCAAAAGGTATATTTTGAGGTGGCAAAACTTTAGTGCCCCCTTACCAGGAAGTGTTCTGGATATTGGTGATATCCAGTGAGCAAAAGTAAAAACAAATTCAAAGAGCTTATAGGCTAGTAAAGGAAACAACATTGATGAAATCACACCAAAAATATATACATATAATTTGGGTTATCACTTGTGCTTTCAAGGAGAGGTACATGGTCAGTTAAGATTAGTCAGGGCAAGCTTCCATGAGAAAGTGATGCTGAACATTAACTAGCTAAAGTGAGAAGTATTCCACTTTAAAGAGTATTCCAGATAGAACAGTATGTGTCACAGCCCTGTGGCAGGAGGGGGTGTGGTATGTTCAAAGAATGAATGTGACTAGAGCATAGAGAGAAGACTGGGAGGTAAGCAGAGGCCAGACCATGCAGGCCTTATAGACCCGATAAAGAAAAGTTTATTTTAATATCAGTAGGAAGCCATTGAGAGAATTCTTGGCAAGTGATAGGACTGAAATGTGGAGCTTAGATTTCAGTGGAACCCAAGAGTGGTTCAGACAAGGGATGATGGGAGCTTGGATAACGGTG